ATTTCACATGCTAAAAATATATGAGTGCCACCAAAAAGAAATCTGTTATCAGGCTTTCAGTACCAAATACAATTTTTAATAAATTATGGATCTGGTATAACTGAAAGCCTAGTGGCAGGTTTTTCTTGTAGCACTGGCACTTGTATTAGAAGAATAACAAAAACAGTTCATTAGTACAAAAAATTTGCATAAGCAAAAAATTCTCACAATCTTTCTAAGTAAAAGATATGATATTTTAGCAGATGGGTCGATTATTTCTCTAGTAACTTTAATGTAATTATAATTACTACTATCACAGAATATTTTTTTTTTTTTTTATTACTTGTAGATTATTAAACCTATAGTTTTTTTTTTAATTGGAAATAAACTGTAGGAATCATGATTTAGATTACAAATTTTATACTAATTTGAATTAGTCAAATGTTTGTATTATTTTATCTTGCATAATTAATACTTACCTTGCATAAAGGGCGTTAATGAATAATCAAGATCTTTCCAATTCAATCTGTTAGTTGGAATCTTGCATTTACTATTATCACGATCAAACTTGAAGGAAAATAAGAATTTATATTCAAAAACAGCTAGAATTAACAAAAAAAAAATTCTGATATAGCTTTAATATGTAATACAAAATAGTAGCTATATATTGAAACATTTTCACTTTTTTTTACTTGTATTTTTTATCAATTTAACAATACCGCCTTTGCCTACTTTACTAAATAATTGTATTGTAAAATCAGATATTAAAATTAACTAGAGTAATTTAAAAACTTTTTGCAAATATTGTATCAATGCTCTAGGAGAAGAAGAAGGAAAAAATACCTATTTTCCTAATAAAAAAGACCAAATTATATTACATTTAAAAAAATGTTTACATTTTCTTGATGCAACTATAGCTAAAGAACAAGCTGAAATATTCAAGTTAATATCAGATAACAATTCATCTACTAAAAAAAGATGTACGCATACAATATTAGTTGTAATCTATATTTGTAAATATAAATTTATATTTATCTTTTTTTAAATAATGAATGATCTTCAGATTCATCTCGAAAAATAGTAGTTCGTTCAAAACCTTATGGCCCAATAGACAACTATGCTGTTCAGGCTTTATCAAAAGAAGATGCTAAACAATTTAACAAACTTTTACTTAGAATGACAGTTTCTTGTGGCTAGTCTTTATCTTGGGTAAATAATCCTAAAGTAAAAGCATGTTATAAATTTTTAAATCTGCTTCTTATACTTCCAGATTGTAGAACATTAGGTAATCAAGTTTTAACTAAAATAGTTAATGATACTAACAAAAATATAGAAATTACTTCGAGAAAAGATCAAATAGGTGTAACTTTAACATATAATGAGTAGACGAACGTAAAGAATGAGCATCTTCTTAAAACTGTTTTATTATCATCTAAAGGAAGGCCTTATATTTGGAAAGCTATTGATATCAGTTCTGAACGTGAAAAATTTCAAGATGTTATAGATAAAACTGAATTAATGCTTTTAGAATTAGAGTCAATTAATATTAAAGTATGTACTATCATTACTAATAGTGCAGGTGCTTATGCGGCTACAAGGTAATTAATAATTTTTAAATTTAGTAAATTATTTAATTAAAATTATTAATTAATTTATATTTTTAATTATTTAGACACCGTTTAAGAATTTCAAAAAAGTCAATAGTTTTTTTGCCTTGTTTTGTCCACCAATTGAATTTATATGTAGATGAGATATTTAAAGAATTACTATCACTAAAAAAAACTATTAATCAGGGAATTAAACTTGCTAATTATTTTCGAAATACTAATAACTAATTTTTTATTGGTCAATTACATAATTAACAGTTTGAGATATATCATAAAACTTATGCAATTTCTGCCTCTTGTGAAACTAGATGAAATAGTTTATTTTTTATGTGTATAACTCTTTTACGAACACAAGAAGCATTAGAAGTAATATATGCTTCTGATTTTTGGTCTGATAAATTAATAATAAATAAATTTTATTTTTTAAAATTTTATTTTTGATAATTAATATTTATTTAGATCTTGGCTATAAAATTTAAACCACCTTTTTCTGAAACTCGGCACCGTACAGGAGATAATTATATTCATCGTGAAATTTATGAGATTATTGGGTCTAATGATTTTTGAGAACAAATTAAAGATTTAGTTAAACTTCTTACCCTATATTACAAGTTACTTAACATGCTCCAACGAGATAAAACCTGTTTGTTTGAAGTTACTTTTAGCATGGCTTATC